TGTGCACAGGGCTGTACCTTAGGCTTCTGAACAGGGTGTGGATAAAATGGGATACTTGTGATGGGTAAAACAGATACCCATTGGATCTTATTGGAGCAAGGAAAATGGCAAACATGATGTAGATACCTGAGTCTTTCCCCCAGTACCCTCTTGAACGAGACTCCGGGACATTGAACAAGTGACAGCAAATGTTTGGAAAAAGGATCCTGCGGAATTACATATGCCTAATGCAATGAGTTCCTGTAACAATAGAAAAGAGGAGAATAAAAACAAGTCACACTGAAAATTAACAAAGTACACCAAGTTTAGTGCTTATACAGATGATTATTAACTCCAAATAAGTAACTGCTTTACAACTAATTGTGGGGTGGGGTGGGGTGGGATGAGGGGACTGCATAAAAATGCTCAAGCACTGAATTGTACAGAGTACCAGTCAGTCTTCTAAGCTGTGGCTAAAGCTCATAAGCACAACTGCTGTATTTCACAGTCCTTATAAAGCTGAAAAGGACTGCACCCACATCACAGATCTTGCAGTCAAGGACCTTACGGCACTATTAGATTGATCTGATTGGATGGAGGGTGGGCAATAAACAAATCTCTTCAGTGGATGCATCCTCATTTGCCAGCTCTCAGGACTGCTCAGTGTTACAGTGAGCAGTAAACCATGCAGTGTTGCCAATCCAAATGTGTCTTGACAGATCAGGAGAACTTCATACAGAAAGGGAAAGAAGCATTTTTTCAGGCAAAAGTTAATCTTCTGGAAGGTAACACAGGGACATTTGTGGGCACAGAGCAGGACAATTTGTTTGCCACCCATTCCTCGCCTTCCTCCTTGTCCACTGGCTGAATGGAGGCTTGTTACAAGGAAACCAAGTCTCCAGAGGTCCGCTAACTCCCCTTGCTGCTGCTGTGACTGACCTGCCATCTCAGTCACACCAGCTTCCCCCTCCTGCTCCAAAACCCAAGTGCCCAGTTGGCACCCCCAGCACAATTTGATGGGAACCCGAAACAGTATTCTGCTTTTTCAGCACACTGTCCTGTTTTGTGCCCACAAATGCCAAGTCCTTAAGTTACCTTCCAAAATATAAGCCAGTTCAGTCCGAAGGTCAAGGCCATATGGTTTGTGTATCCGGAGTTTAAATCAGGCAGCGGTGTCCAAAACAATGTCCAGGAAGGAAGCCAAAAGCTTAGATATCCAATTTATCTTAAATGAAGCCAAAGACACCAGTAACAACAACTCATGGAGAGCAGACTCTGGCTGATCTAATTTATAGCCAGCTGTAAATCAGTGCAGCTGGATAATTAGGCCAGCGTCTTGTTTTACAGGAGGCTCCACGCTCAGTCTGCTGCTTGAACTTCTGCTGGGTCTGTAAATGCCTCCTCCTTTCTACAGGGTGAATTTCCTCCGACTCCAGCCTCTGAGGACTTCCAGGGGCTGCCCAAGAGGGTCTTGGCTGCTTTTCCAATGGAAGGCAATCAGCTGCACCTTCAACCCCTGAATTGGACTGTAGCTGGGGCCTGCCATGCTGGCTGTCTTCGTCTGAAGAACCCCCCCTCCAGGTGGGACATGACAATGGGTTCAAGCACTGGGTTGTTTAACCATCAACCACCCAGAATGCTCAGTTTGGACATCATGTCTAACAGGCTAGGAATGGGATGTTCATGAGATGATTAGCAAATGAAAATAGAAGGAAAGTGGTGAGCATGGAGGAGACAGTAAGTGTGCTCTTGGTCCCGACCCCCCCTGAATGCAAACCAAGCCATTAAGTCAGAGCTGAGTTACCTGATTGCCATCCACTGTATAACCATGCTTTAGAGCAAAGATTTTGGACATTGAGATTGTTATGGAAAACCCAACCAGTGCAATTGCAATTGCGTCCACAAATACTGCTGGGATGAGGCTGACATCAGGTACTTGTGGAGGACGTAACCTGCAAGTGATTAAAAACAGAAAAAATGATAATGGCCTGGCCAGACTAAATCCCCTAACCATAAGAAGGCAAGAAGAACATTTAATTCCTTGTCCTTACCCTTTGGGGATATTCCCAACAACGTTCACTCTGTAAGTTTCTGACAGATTCATTCCAGCAGAAACTCCAGTACCGATTACCACCTTTAAAAAAGCAAGCACACAAGAATAAGAGTAACCCAAGAAAATCTCAAAAACCTCAGTGAAGGCTCCTTCAGCTAAATTATGATGCAACTTACCACAATGATCTCCATAGGGATGGGGACAGGAAGTTTCTTCTTAAAGCGGTCATTGATTTCCTTACCACTCAGCAACAAAACCATACAAATTAGTCCAACAACTAAAGCTGCTACATTGGTTTTTGTGATATTTGCGAATACAGCAAATAAGCTCTGCAAGACAAAGTGAAAAATGCATCATATTATAGAGTCAAGGAGAACTAAATCATTATGTGGAAGGGGGTGTTGGCTTTAGAATACAGCACTCTGAGGATCTACATTTTTATTTAAAGATAAGTTTCTAGCCCTTAAGGGTGCAAAGATAAACTTGAAAGAAAGAGCACGAGCTTGGAGAAATGGAGTGGGGCTGGGTAAACTTCATGGGTAAACTTCAGCTTCTAAGATGCCGACCTTCCCTCCTTGTCTTCTGCTTAAACTGCGACTGGTACAGAGCCAGGTTCAGATACAAAGTACTGTCGCTGTCGCCTGTGTCATAATCCTCAGGCTGAGCTCAACACAGGCATGTATGGAGGGAGGACAGCCTCCAGAAATGTAACATGTTAATTTTTGTTTTCTGCAGACATCTCTCCGAGTCCTTGCCAGGCTCCCCGATTCTTATTTTATTTCTTAGGAGATTTTTTTTTAATAAAAAGACACTAGCATACTGTAAAGGAAAGTGCTGCTCTCTGGCAGTGTCTTTATTTGGGTCCACAAGAGTGGTTTTGTGTTTTGGAGTCCAGCTCCATTGCTGCTTTATAATTTGGTACTTGGGCAAGTTGCCTTTTTTTAGCCTCATCAGTTTGCCTTAGGGAAGAGAACCAGGGCAGCCTTTTATGGAAAGACAACCCCTGCAGTGGCAGCCATTATGGAGAACTCCAGTGACACTCACTCGAGATTCCTAATCAGCCCACCAGCCCCAAACCCTGGAGACCCCACTACCCACCACGGACCAAGCCATTCAACAGTAGCTTAGCAAGTGGACACAAATAACATCTAGCAACTCCATAGCCTACTAGGAAACAAAGGGAATGCAAATTGCCTTGCTGTATCAACCATTAAACTGGTTGAATTGCCTTGGTTCTGTTACCTAAACTGGTTTGCAAGGCTCAGTGGATCCTGTGGAGCCTACAGCTCCTGAGTTTCCTGGGTGAAAGCCATGAACAGTTGATGGTCAAAGACTGGCTGAAAGCTCTCTGTTGATGTGGATTGTGAACCAAGACACTTTTTAAGCTTGGGAATGCTCCCGTCCTATGTCACTTCACTGTACGGCTACTCACAGAAAGAATGGAGGGGGCTCCACTGATGCTTGAAGTCTCAATCCCAAACAGATACTTTAACTGGGAGGTAAAAACATGCACAGCTGCAGCAGTGGTGAATCCCCGTACCAGGGGCTCCGTAAGATAAATGGCTACAAATCCAAATCGAAGAAGTCCTAAACACAACTAACAGAAAGAAAGAAGAATCACTTTCTAGGAAACACCATGGACTTCGAGCTTGATTTAAAAAGCCAACATTGTACAGAGTCTCAGACTTTGAGGCCCTGGTCTGATTGCCCTTATCTTCAACTTATCTTCAACTCAAGGTAATTACTGATAAAGCCACCTCTTTCCTTGTAGGCATGCAGGCCTCTCCTTCCTCTTCTTGCCCAGAGAAGAGAAGCATGCCAGTTCTACTAGGCCTGGTGTCTGTGACCTGAAACTGATGCTGTCCATCCACTAGTGGAACTGACACTGCTGGCAGAGTGGATTTTACCTCCCACCCCCTAAATCAGCTCCACAGGCTAGGGAGACCCTCTGCAGCAGATTTGTGTGGGATAGGCAGGTGGAGGGAGAGCAAGGGCACAAGAGGAAGTCAGCTCTTGTGATTTCAGACAGCACCCATGGTGTGGGGAGGAAATAGTGTGTGATTACAGAGCTTGAGGCATTAAGGTGCCAAGGAAGCAGGCTTGGGTTTCCTGTTACAAGGCAGATTAAGTGGCAAATGAATAGGAGGCCTCCAGCCAAGGTGGCTTGAAGGCAGCACTGTGACCAGCAGCTGGGGTTTGGCTCCACACAATCCGACTAACAGGAGCAATGGAGGTTATGCAACATCGGCAAACCAGGCAATTCTGCTTAATCTGCCCATACATACCCAGAATCCAGCCATTATGGGAGTAAAGTATTATGCTGTCTTAGAAGAGAATTTCATTTTTTTAAAGAGCATAGTACAGGCAGCTTTGAATATGACATGGCTTGGCAATATGGTTAAGGCAGCATCCTGTACCCTGGCACTCAGCAAGGTACGGTCTGAAACTATTTTCTCCAGTGTTCAGGTACAAACAATTCATTTTGTACCATTTCAGGTCAGGAAAGATTAGCTCTGATGGATGGATTGGAAGCTGATGAAGCTGTAACTCCTCAAAGGCGAGTGTTTAGCAGCAATATTCAGATGTGCTACTGAACCAGTAGATACACTACCTGTATGATCCCTGAGAGCAAGGTAACGGCAACAGCTACTTTCACCCTCATGTCATCTCTGGCCTTGCTGTTCACAAGATCTGTGCCATTCGTAACGTTGGCATCTGGCACACTGAACATTTCATCGGGAACTTCTCTGCGAGTCACTCCGCCAATCATCAGGCTGATGACAGCAAACGTTCCTGCAAGAGGAGCATTTGATTCAGAGGAATACTCTTACTCACCACTGTAGCAAGGAATGGCAGAGATGCCGGAGTATTTTTGTCAGTGGGTTTGGTGTACACGTGTAAAGTGTCCTGAGGGGTGGCAGAAGCACCCTCCTGGTGTGCAGCATGGTTCCTTTCCTCAAGGTGGGGATTTTTTATGCCAGCTCCAGGCTTGGGGGCAGTGAGAAAACCCTAAGGCCTGATCCCCCTCTCCCCAGAAGGCCTTGTTCAGGGGTTACCAGTTAAACCTGAAGAACTGTCCACGTCCCTGGGGCCTCCAGGAGTGATGTGTGCTCACTGCCACAGTAGTGAAACTTGTTTCCATCAACAGGCAGCACACAATCCTGCCCTGCCCCCCCCCCCCCCCGGTTTCAGACCAAGGGATTTAGGATTGCTCTGCCCAGCACTTTCCTTATTACCTAATTTATATATGTGTATTTGAATGTTCAAAGAGTTTCACATATGCACTCTCAATAATCCACACAACAGACATGTAAGGTCCGGAAATATTATCTACATGTTACAGAAAAGGGGCTGATTCAGAGAGGATTGTCTGAGGCAACCAGCAAATTGATGGCTGAGGCAGAATGTGAAGGAGGGACTTAGTGATTCATAACCCAGCCTCCTAGCCACCTGGCTACCCCCTTTTTCCATGTACTGGATTGAAGGTAATGAAAAGCAGTTGCAAATGAAGCAGTTCAGGGTTGCACTGAGATGTACTGACCAAGGTAACAGAGTTCAATTTCGGTTTAAAGAAGTCAAGATTTGATTTTAAGGCCGCAATGTCTTTATGTGAGTTATGGGAAGTGTTGAGTTCATGCTTGACACATACTGTAAGTGTTTTAAGTGTTTAGGAAAGGATTCTTGTGAAAAGGTGGAATGTTGTACTTCCTGCAATAACAACCAATTATGCTTCTAAGATAAAGGAGCATTTTATTTTTCTGATGTTTTAAAGAAAACAATATTTAAGCATTAAAAGGTGTACCTATTGATATGTGTCTGGATGTTCCAAATAAAGTGTACAGAAAGACTGGATAAAATGAAGTATACAGTCCAAATACTGGGGGTACTGCTGCCAGTAATGCATAAGCTAAACCTAGGAGAAAAGAGAGAAAAAAGGTAGAACAATCCAAGATTCTAAACAAATCCCTTCCATTCTTTCCATACATTCCACTTGTGTTTGAATGATCTGCTGTCAAGGAGGATTGTTCTAACAATCACCTTCACTCTGGCACACAAGTTCTCTATTCATAGGAATTCTAATTTTTGCTACTGAAGAGTATTCATTCATGCGAGTCTCAACCTGTAGTGGTCGAGTTCAGGCATGTGTTTACACCTCTGTGTGCACAAGGCCTCGGACTAATACTTTTTATTTGTAATAGCTCACCAAAGAAGATACACTTTGCTATATTTGCATGCTGCCCTTTCTCTAAGGAGTTGAGAAAGGCGTGCAAGTTGCCAAAGAAACTGTATAAGTCTCATATTCAAGCAGAGATTTGCAGCTGGGTTTCCCATGAGCAAGTTCACCATTCCAGCCATGAAGCAAGCTGGCTCTTATACAGGTTGCCCCCGAGGCTGACAGAAATATTAAACTTCTTGATGTGCCTTTCATATAGGGCTGTACCCCTCAATGTTCAGCTGGGGAACTATTTGTTTTGGGATTGCCTATGCGGAAAACAAAAAAGCAAAACAAAAAACACACCTGTGCCCAGTGGCTGCTCAAGAGGAAGTTTAGCCTGCTCTTTTAAATGGCAAGATTTGATGCAATTTTCATTCAGGGAAATCCTCATGTGAAAATGGAGGGAATATAGTCCTCTTGAGAGGAATGGATTGTCTTCACCAGTTAATTATGTCAGATCTGGTTTATTGTATTAAGCTTTCTACACTTATCCAAACAAGCTACATGGTGCTGTCACAAAAGCAACGGCTGGTCTGAAGATTCTAAAAAGAAAGGGAAAAAGTTAAATTTCACTAACCTTGAGGGAGCTGCATGACTCCAGTGCTTATACCTGAGATAATGTCTCCCAGCAAATACTCCTTCACTGGATAGCGAGGGAGCCATGTAAAAACTGGGAAAAAACTACAGAGAACAGATTTGGCTTTCTTGGAAGAACAACTGAAAATGCAAAAGAAAAAGCAAAATCAGGTGGAGGAAATGGGCAAAATATAAATTCTTTGTACATAGATAGACAAGAGTGACTGGGTTTGCACAGTCAGGAAAGGAAAAGAAGCCATTGTGGTGACGTGTTTTCCTGCACAGTGAGGGTCAGCCGCACACGGCTTGATTTCCAGCATTATCTGCACTGTGTGCATGTTGCCATATTATTCAGACCCAGCAAAGTGGGTGGGAGTGGTGCCTTCCAAGCTACCTGGCAATCCATGGATCATTCCAGGGTTCCAGGATGGGTTGGAAAGCACTCCCACCACCTGCCCTCTCCAGGGACAACATGGTCTGGGCAATATGACAATCCGCATGTGGTGCAGACTGCTATGGAAATGAGGCAGCATGCAGCTGGCTTTTGTGGGGGGAACCCAGTCATGTGCACTTGGCCACCCACTTCATAGAAATTGCTTGTGGAATCAGTTTTTTCTCGCCTGTGACTAAGTTATGACACAATCCTGTGCATACTTAGAAAAAGCGTTAACAATTTCCAGCATGTTGCAGTCAGACAGACAGCCACGCTGTAGGACATTTTTCTGCCCAAACATGCATAGGATTACATCTTCATTCACAGGAATTAAAGTGCAATTCTAAGCATGTCTACTCAGAAATGAATTCTATTAAATTCAATGGGACTTATTCCCATGCAAATTTGTGGAGGATTCCAGGCTTACAGTGCAAACCTGTTCATGTTTAATCAGAAATAAGTCCAGCAGTATTCAGTGGGGCTTGCTCCCAGGCAACTGAGTATGGGAACAGAGCCATGGTAATTCATTTCTTACTGCTTGACTGAATTGGTTACCGTCAGCTGCTTCTGCCAGTTTTCTATTCTACCATATCTTGGAAGGACTAATTAAAAAAAACACAATTTGATTGAAACTTAGCACATTAGAAGCAGATTAGGTCCTTCCTTCCAATGTACCAACTAGCAACATGCAGGGTGGCTACAAGAGTTTTTAAAAATGGCATGAAAATATGTATATGTGCTTGGGCACACATGTAAGCATGTGTATGTAATATGGTTTAGTCAAATTTAAGATTAAAGACCCATTGAAATCTATAGATTAGGTCAATCATGACTAAATCTGGATCCAACGTATATCTGAGATCATGTGACCTTCCTCATTCATGCTAAAGTATCAGCCTCAACAGAGCTGTATCACAGTATTTTTTATGAATGTATGGGTTGGCTTTTACATTCCCATGAAAAGTGATGCACGACCATAGCATTTTTGTTGGCTTTTGAGGGACTCAAAAGATTCAGTACTCTGGATCTAGCATTCCTGTGAGCTGACTTCTGTTCACAGGATTCTCCCACTAGCAGAAGATGAGGAGGTGATTTTTGCCCATCTGACCTTTTCCTGCAATCCCATCACCTCAATTGTTTCAGGGGCTTGCAGGAGCCTCCAGAACAGTGTGGGAGGTCATGCAGGGGAAACCAACAGAAGTTGGCTTTCCCCATCTCCAGATTCCTCACCTCTGCTGGATAGGACTCCCTTCCATATACAGGACAATGTGAAATCCAAGCCAATGGATGTATTTAACAAGGCCTAGCATGCATACAGTAACTCAAATGTCCTACCGGCAAGAATGTGCTATCTTCTGACCAAGAGGTACAGACGTCTTTTCCTTCTTGTGCAGCTGCTCTTGAAGGGTTCCTTGGGTATACACCTTCCTCTCCACACAATACCTCTGGTTTGCTCCATTATATACTTCATATTCTCCAGCATCTTCCATAGTACATTTCAGTGAAGGAGAACAGAAGTTCTGCTCCTTGTTGTTGCTATCAAAACAGACACATTCAAAAAGGATAATTTGAGAAATCCTCCATCTGGGGGAGGAGAATAGCTAGACGTGTTTCCACATAGGACAGAAAGGAGGCAAACAACCTATCCTGGCTTCACTCCTCTTCCTCCCACCACTGGGGACCAACAGCACTTGTGGGGGAGAGAGAGGGGGCAAAGGGAAGCTCGCAGGAAAGAACATCACCATATTGCTGCTCAAGGTGTTCAACAGGACCGTCTCCTACCGCCCCAGTCACCTCTGTGCCAAACCACTAGCCCTGTGAGAGGCAACCTGGAAAGGGAGAGCGACAGGCAAAGATGCCCATTAGATGCCTGTTCTTGGGCAGCTTCCTCACGTGCCCTACACCAGCCTTCCACATGTGTTGCACTACAACTTTCATCATCCCCACCCAACAGTCAGTCATCCATCTGTTGGGGGACCTTTTCCCTTCCTGGAACTCTGGGAAAGAGCTTTGCTTGAGATGACAGAAAAGATAACTTGCATGTGGCTCCTTTTCCTGGATACACAGAAAGCTGCTTTATACTGAGCCAGGCCATTGGTCCATCTAGTCCAGTACTATCAAGACTGATTGGTAACTTTCCAGGTTGGAAAGTTTCAGATCAGAGATTTTCCTGCTCTGCCTGGAGATAAGGAAGAGGCCCTTTTGCATCCAAGGCATGCATTCTGCCACTGAGTCACAGCCTTTCCCTCACTCAGTGCTGGAATCCCCAACAAGCTGACCCAAACCCTATTACCATATAATTTAATAGATTTATATAGTAAACATATTTAACAGTTATTTATTAAATATATTTAATCAATTAACAAAACACACTGTGAACAAAACATGCTGTGCACTACTGAACATTGCTAAGTGAATCACAAAAAGTATACTATCATTTACATGATAATTTAAAATATATACTATATAAAACATTAATAAACACATTACAATCAATACAACACAGCAATTAACAAAAGAAATGGTTCTTTAATTGGCATTTAAGTATGATATAATTGGCACCCCTGAACATTGGGAGGCAGTGGGGAGATCATTCCAGAAACTGGGTGCCACCACAGAGAGGGCCCTGTTTCCCAGTTGCTGTGAGTTGGCCATCGACAGACTGTGGTACAACCAGCAAGACCACCTCCAGTGATCTTCATACTTGTGAGGTCTGTGCTGGACAAGGCATCCTACCAAGTGACCCAGTCCCAGGATGTTCAGGGCCCTACTTGTCAACAGCAAGACCTTGTACTTGGTTTGGTAGCCTCCTGGCTTTTGCGTTCTGCACCATCTGTAGTTTCCAGACCAAGCACAGGGGTAGTCTCACATAAAACACATTAAGCTACTATAAACCTGACATTACCAATGCATGGACTACAGTGGCCAGGATATTCTGATCAACATCCCTACTGAGCTATACTTACAGGAAAGACGGCAACCTGAGGGCCACCCGCTCTCAGATTTTGGACAATCAGGGCAGCTGAATGCCTCCCCCATGGCTTTAGCACTTGTTCATTTTAATATGGGGTGAGAGGGTTATATCTTCAAAAAAACCCTGCCATTGCAGGTGGCATTTTGCGCAACCTGAACTCTACCAGCCTCAGAACCAAGGGGACTTGGCTGTTCAAACCATGAGAAAAGACAAACGAATGAGATAAAAGGTGGCTCTCAGGTGTAAGCCTGGCAATGGGTGGTGTGTTAGATGCCACACATAAAACATCAGAGGGTGGTACAAGAACATAATAAATACATAAGTACATAAAAGTAATGATATTGTCACATACGCCCCAAATGATTTGAAGCCTGTGTGATGTGGGCCTTGACTCTTCAGCAAGTGTGTGCTAGGGCAGAATACAGTCCCTCTGTATTATGAGGGAAGATATAAGGAAGGAAAAGTGGCTCTTGAGCAATCTCAGTGCATAGTTGCGGAAATGACTGAGGTGACAGCATCAAGAGCATTGGCAATATTCCTTATCAGTAAGATAAGAACGTAAGAGACTAAGAGTCTTAAGAACTGACGTTCTTAAATCTGACTGATAAAGCCAAGATTTGAAAGGACTTAGTGCTGTATCAACCTAAATGTGTTTGAGCACACGCCCCCTCCGTGATTTGTAAAGGCCTACTTGCCGTTCCTCAAACAAAGGACAAAATATGGTAGTAGCTGTAGGCATTATTCCTTTGTTAGGTTCATATCCCATAAAGATGGGAGGATTTTTCAGCCATGGTTGCTACTGACCATGCTGGAGAAATTATCTGTGGGAAATGAGATGCCCACACCAAAGTTTGCAGAAGATGACAGGTTTGCTACTGAGTGTCCTTTCCTCAGGGAGCTGTGACCAAGCCCGGGCCTTAGATGGGTGTACCTTGCATTGAAATGCAAGATTGTGCCTGGCATGGCTGGGGCCACGCCTCAGCTGCAGCCCTGCAGCTGCTCTTCTTCCTCAGGTCACCAGTCCGCTTGTTCCCTGCCTCTCCTCTGGCTGAGATAAACGGGATGGTGAGAAATAGGATCAGCAGATGCCATGTGCTATTTGCTCACTGGATCTCTGCCTGTCCAGCAAGCAAGTGCTGGCAGGGATGAAAAAGAAGGTGGGGAAAGACAGTGCCACGGTGCTGACTCTCCAAGGGATCTTGCTGAAGGGCCATCAAAAACCTGGAGCTGCTGCTGATAGTATATTTAGCTGTACAATTTTAAAAAGTTACATTGCAGAATGAAGGAAGTAGCCTGGAGATGCAGAGATTAAATGCAGACTACAGATGTTCAAATGATCCCCTTCCTTCTAATCTGCAATAGGACATACTCTGCACTACTCATGCAATACTTTATTTATTCATTTATTTATTAGATCTATATCCTGCTTTTTCCTTAAACAAATGCAAAGTGGCATACATAATTTTCCTCCTCCTGCTTTCAATCTTATCCCCTCAACAACAACCCTGTGAGGTAAGTTGGGCTGAGAGTCTGTGACTGGCCCAGAGTCACTCAGTTGGCTCCATGGCCAGGTGGGGACTAGAACTCAGGCTGCCTGACTCCCAGTCCTGCACGCTTAACCGCTACACCACACTGACTGTCTTACACAAGTAAAGGAAAACAATGCAAAGCCAAGCTCAGGGAAGCAACACTAATGCCATTGGCTTTACTAATTCTAGAAGAGCACTGACAGGCTAGAAAGGCCCCGTCCCTCAAAGATGCCAGGATAAGAGTTGTCACACTCTTATGCTAGATCATGAGTTGTATAAAGGATCATTCAGCTCTGTGGTTGCCTATAACCATTTCTGGCCAAATAAATGGCCAAAGTGTGCATATGCCATGCAAACTCTGTTTCTCTTCTTGCAAATTAGAAGGACAATGATTCTTTCTGCACTTCTCTCTGCTCCCTTCATTCATTTAAGTCTAACCTCTGTGGGCAGTTTCTACGGCAATGCAAATTGTAGCAGATGACCAAAGGCACAGTATTTGTGGCCAAAGACCAGACATACTGCGTTCTGCGTTGCATTCCCAGACCATAGCAAAGCAATGCAGAAAGCAGTCTGGCAAGCTACTTCCCTTCTCACTTCAGATCACTGAAGTGACCTGCTCTGATGACTGCCCCTTTTCCTGCCCGCACAGAAGATTCACAACCACACAATGTGACAGCCTCTCCCTCTGAGGGCATGTTTACACAGCAGGAGTTCTGGCCCAGGTTAACAACCTGTGTTTTCTCAGGCAGGAAATACATTTCAAAGGTTATATCTTAAAATATGTTGTAAGTGTCACGGGTCCCTCATGGAACATGCTCAGGTCAATGTGTGTAGTGTAAATTCTGAACTCTACCCCAAGATTAAAAAGCTCCCCCAAGTTTACAATAGAAATATGCCTCATTTTATTGTGCTTTGCTTTATTGTGCTTTGCAGATATTGTGCTATTTACAAATTGAAGGTTTGCGGCAACCCAGCACTGAGCCAGTCCATCAGCGCCATTTTTCCCAACAGCTTTTGCTCACTTCATGGCTCTGTGTCACATTTTAATAATTCTCACAGTATTTCAAACTTCATCATCATTACTATATTTCTTATGGTGATCTGTGATCTTTGACGTTAATATTGTAGCAAGAGCAGCAAAAAGATTCCAACTCCCTGAAGGTTCAGATGATAGTTAGCATTTTTTAAATCAAAAAAGTATTTTTAATGAAGGCTATGTACACTGTTTTTAGACATAATGCACACTTAACAGAATGCAGTACAGTGCATACCTCATCTGGGAAACAAAGAAAAATTGTGTGACTTGCTTTATTGGGATATTCACTTTATTGCAGTGGCCTGGAACCAAATCTGCAATATCTCTGAGGTATACCTGTATAGTTTAGATGCTATGACATGGTGCATTTTGAGAAGGAAAATGTGAGCAAGGAGGAGAATAATAGGTAATTATCTGCTGGGATGGCAGAGAAAATTGCAACAGATTCAAAAGAATTCAGATTTCTATGAATCCAACCTGTGGATTCTACAGCAAGCCAGCTTTTTCAGGGCTTTTTTCTATTTGGAGGCAGAGGTAGGGGAAGTAACTTGTAGTAATTCATGTTAACACAGCTGGAACTGAATTCTTGTACATCCATTAAAAGAAAAATCTGATTCCATCAGTGAGCAGATAACATAACAAAAGACACTTGACAATCCATGAAACAAACAAAAGCAAAACAAAGCCAGTGTAGTGTAATGGTTAAGAGCATGGGACTCAGGCGATTTGGGTTCTAGTCCCTGCTCGGCCACGGAGCCAACTGGGTGACTTTGGGCCAGTCACAGACTCACAGCCCAACCTACCTCACAGGGTTGTTGTTGTGGGGATAAGATGGAGGGGGAGAATGATGTAAGCTGCCTTGAGCCCTTTGTAGGAAAAAGGCAGGCTATAAATTGGAAATAAAGAGAAAAAACCAAAATAAAATCCATAGTACAGTCACATATACCTGGGCCAAGTTCTTTTTAGGCACTGCTAGGCCAGTCCTCGAGCTGCTGTTTGCTTTTGGGATAATGAAATAAGAGAATGCAGTTTCAGGATTCAGTGAAAACTGCTGCAAAGGAAACAAAAATCAGTTACTGAGATGTTTTAATTCCATCTTCCTCTGTCTCTAAAGAGACAATTACCCACATGATTGTTTGTTTGATTGATTTGATTGGATTTATATACTGCCCTGGCAACCCACTCCAGTATCTTTGCCATGAAAACCCCATGGACGGTACCAAAAGGCAAAAAGATATGATGCCGGAAGATGAGCCCCTCAGGTCAGAAGGTGTCCAATATGCTACTGGGGAAGAGCAGAGGGCTAGTACTAGTAGCACCAGAAAGAATGAAGTGACTGGGTCAAAGCCGAAAGGATACTCAGTTGCAGATGTATCTGGTGATGAAAGGAGAGTCCGATGCTACAAAAATCTGTACTCCTGGAATGTAAGATCCATGAATCAAGGCAAGCTGGATGTGGTCAAACAAGAGATGACAAGACTGAACATCAACATCTTACGAATCAGTGAACTAAAATGGACAGGAATGGGTGAATTTAATTCAGATGACCGTCAGGTATACTACTGCGGGCAAGAATCCCTCAGAAGAAATGGAGTAGCCTTCATAGTCAATAAAAGACTAGGAAAAGCAGTACTGGGATACAATCTCCAAAATGACAGAATGATCTCAGTTCGAATCCAAGGCAAACCATTCAACATCACAGTAGTCCAAGTCTATGCCCCAACCACTGGTGCTGAAGAGGCTGAAGTTGACCGGTTCTATGAAAGCCTACAACACTTTCTAGAATTAACATCAAAAAATGATTTTCTTATCATCATAAAGTAAAGTAGGAAGCCAAAAGATAACCAGAATGACAGGCAAGTTTGGCCTTGGAGTACAAAATGAAGCAGGGCACAGGCTGGTAGAATTTTGTCAAGAGAATACGATGGTCATAGCAAACACTCTTTTCCAACAACCGAAGAGACGACTCTACACATGAACATCACCAGACCGTCAACACAGAAATCAGATTGACTATGTGCTCTGCAGCCAAAGATGGAGAAGCTGTATACAGTTAGTAAAAACTAGACCAGGAGCTGACTGCGGCTCAGATCATGAGCTTCTGGTTGCAAAATTCAGGCTTAAATTGAAGAAAGTAGGGAAAAGCACTAGGCCGCTCAGGTATGATCTAAATCATATCCCTGATGAATATACAGTAGAGGTGACAAACAGATTTAAGGAATTAGATCTGATAGACAGAGTGCCTGAAGAACTATGGACGGAGGTGCGCAACATTGTACAAGAGGCAGCAACTAAAAACATCCCAAAGAAAAAGAAATGCAAGAAAGCAAAATGGCTGTCTGAGGAAGCTTTACAAATAGCTGAGGAAAGAAGGGCAGCGAAAGACAAGGGAGAAAGAGAAAGATACACCAAATTGAATGCAGAATTCCAGAGAATAGCTAGAAGAGATAAGAATGCCTTCTTAAATGAACAGTGCAAAGAAATAGAAGAAAACAATAGAATAGGGAGAACCAGAGATCTCTTCAGGAAAATTGGGAGATATGAAGGGAACATTTCATGCAAAGATGGGCATGATAAAGGACCAAAATGGCAGGGATCTAACAGAGGCAGAAGAGATTAAGAAGAGGTGGCAAGATTACACAGAAGAACTATACAAGAAAGAGCTTAGCATCCCTGATAACCACGATGGGGTGGTCACTGACCTCAAGCCAGACATCCTGGAATGTGAAGTCAAATGGGCCTTAGGAAGTCTGAGCAACAACAAAGCTAGTGGAGGTGACAGTATTCCAGCTGAGCTATTCAAAATCTTAAAAGACGATGCAGTAAAAGTGCTACACTCACTATGCCAGCAAACTTGGAAAACTCAACAGTGGCCACAGGATTGGAAAAGGTCAGTTTACATTCCAATCCCAAAGAAGGGCAATGCCAAAGAATGTTCAAACTACCGCACCATTGCACTCATTTCACATGCTAGCAAAGTTATGCTCAAAATCCTACAAGCTAGGCTCCAGCAGTATGTGGACCGAGAACTACCAGAAGTACAGGTGGGATTTCGAAGAGGTAGAAGAACTAGAGATCAAATTGCCAACATATGCTGGATCATGGAGAAAGCTAGGGAGTTCCAGAAAAACATCTACTTCTGCTTCATTGACTATGCTAAAGCCTTTGATTGTGTGGATCACAACATATTGTGGCAAGTTCTTAAAGAGATGGGAGTACCAGACCATATAGGTTTCTCTTGAGAAACCTATATGTGGGTCAAGAAGCAACAGTGAGAACTGAACCACTGATTGGTTCAAAATTGAGAAAGGAGTTCGGCAAGGCTGTATACTGTCACCCTGCCTATTTAACTTATATGCAGAGCACATCATGGGAAAGGCGGGGCTAGATGAATCACCAGTTAGAATTAAGATTGCTGGGAGAAATATCAACAACCTCAGATATGCAGATGATACCACTCTCATGGCAGAAAGTGAAGAGGAACTAAAGAGCTTCGTGATGTGGGTGAAGGAGGAGAATGCAAAAGTTGGCTTGAAACTCAACATTAAGAAAACTAAGATCATGGCATCTGGTCCTCTCACTTCCTGGCAAATAGATGGGGAAGAAATGGAGGTAGTGACAGATTTTATTTTCCTGGGCTCCAAGATTACCACAGATGGGGACTGCTGCCAAGAAATTAAAAGACACTTGCTCCTGGGGAGGAAAACTATGGCAAATCTAGACAGCATACTAAAAAGCAGAGACATCACCCTGCCAACAAAAGTGCGTATAGTCAAGGCTATGGTTTTCCCAGTTGCAATGTATGGCTGTGAAAGTTGGACCATAAGGAAGGCTGAGCGCTGAAGAATTGAGGCCTTTGAATTGTGGTGCTGGAGGAGATTCCTGCAAGTCCCTTGGACCGCAAGGCGATCCAACTGGTCAGTCCTAGAGGAGATCAAGCCTGACTGCTCTTTCGAAGGCCAGATACTGAAGATGAAACTCAAATACTTTGACCACCTAATGAGAAGGAAGGACTCCCTGGAAAAGAGCCTAACGCTGGGAACAATTGATGGCAAAAGAAGAAGGGGACAGCAGAGAATGAGGTGGCTAGATGGAGTCACTGAAGCAGTTGGTGTGAGCTTCAGTGGACTTTGGGGGATGATGGAGGACAGGAAGGCCTGGAGGAATGTTGTCCATAGGGTCGCGATGGGTCAGACATGACTTCACGACTAACAACAACAACAATAAATTTCAAAGGGCTCTGTGTACAATGGGAAAAGAAAGGGTAGAAAACCCAAAGTGATTCTCCTAGCTTGTACAATTGAGAAGAAACCTTAGTCCCCCTTCAAACCTCACTTGACTTTTGAACAAACTAATTTCCATTATGAGTTATTTTAAATAATCAGTGCCAAGATCGACTGGTATTCTGGCAATGACCTGTCATTTCATTCCAAATTTCATGGCTAAATTTGAGGTATGTTCACTTCTGAAGTTCCCCCAGTCCCAGGAGTCCAGCATGCTATCAGCTGTGTATATTTGATCTAGGCAAGGAACAACTTTAAAAGGTCACTAATGCCCATTTATGGGTCATAAGACTCTTACATGCCAAGTTGATTAAACGGCAATAATCTGCCAATCACAGCAAAGTACCAAACATTTCCACAGTCTATTTAGCTAAACCATAACCCCAGTTCTCAGCATAAATGGTTCACAGTCTCCCCTCTTAGAAAAAAATGAGAAGACTTTTTTCCATGCTTTTGTCACTTCTGGAACATCCAAGACTGTTCCATGGTGTTCTTCATGCTGAAACTGGCTTGAAGCTTAACCTGTCCAACCCATTTAGCTTGGCAGGTTCAGAAAAGAAATGCCACCCATTGTCTAACTGACATCCTGGAACCAATACAATTGTTATGCTCACTGAAAGGATCACATGGAGGTTATCTAGGCACCTGCCAATAAAAAGATGGGGAAGAAAATATATGGCTCTTAGATCTCCATTTCTGATGCCAAGTCAGAATTTTTTCTCTGGAGAAACATTTCATTCTACACCCAAAAAGTGACAGATATATTTTCTTTATCAGCTCCCAGAACAATGGGACAGGCATATTCCTTGTAATTGGAAGGTAACATAACAGTATCCAACCAAATCCTTTCCTAATGAGTTAGGACAGAGGGTGGTACTCTTCCCTCTGGGCAAGAATGATGCTTTTGGAACTTGACTGTATCTCTTAAATATAAGAGATTCTGTTATTATCCAAATATTGGGTTATCAAATATAAGGCCCTTCTATTGCTCTAAATGTGACAGTCCTGTTAGCTGTTAATAGTCAACACAATGACAATCATTCTCTATAAAACCAGCCATATAATGTCACTACTATCCACAGAATCTATAAAATGGCTTGCTTAGATTTTTGATAGGATATAGTTTCAGAGGCATATTTTATATTTATAGTGTTCTTCATCAGTTTTTCCCACTGGAATCTGTGAGTGCTGTAAGCAAGCACATGTTCTTACATTTCCCAGGAACTACAGAAAACTGTCCAGCAGAAGTTTTCCAGCTATAAGCATGTGCTTTAATGCATTATAACCAAATTACCCATTTGTGTATATTCAAAACATTTACCTGCCTAATCAAATACTAGTCTCTGTTAAAGCAAACTAGGTAAGACATGCACAGGCGTTGACCTTGAACAGAAGCTATCATAAAAATGTAGAACATTAAAAATATCTGGCAGGTTAGGTCACTATAGAGAGCTGTGTCTTTTTCTAAATACTTAAAAATACTTTATTGTATGACCACAATCAAAGGAGCACAATGCTAATTTTTCTTTCCTTTTCTTACTATCCTTTAAACATAAGTTTTGTTAACATTATAGCACCAGAAAAACAAAAAACGAAAAAACCCTCATTCTACACAAAGAAGAAAAAACTGCACAAGCAGAACTTCTGGGGAAAGTGAAATTCAGGAAGTTATCAGCTGTGCTGTAATGATGAGAGCTGAGTAAACAGACAAGGCTTGAAAAGTTGGTGATCCACTGCTTTCCAACTAGATATGAAATTCTTGCTCATTGTTCATAATATTTAGTTATGGTTAAAAGTCAAGCACGATGGCTTCAGGTGTGGAGCTGCCCTATTCCACCAACTGTTCTGTTCATTTTCTTCAAAGTAGTCAGTGGAACTGAGTAGTTTGGCTAGCAGTCCTCACTGACGTGCCAGCACAGTTTGTACACTCATCCTGCCAATAAATATGAATAAGCAAAAGGTAAAGCACAAAGAACTAGAAGAGGAAGTGCAGAAAGCAGAGGAAGAGAAATTAGACAGAATGGAAAGGATCAGCCAAAGATCCCAACTGGTCAGCGATAGGTTCTTGGTGTGTGCCAAGGCAAAGTGCTATGGAAAAGGGGCTTCTTGCAACTCCTGGAGAAGAGGGGTGTCTACATCAAGACAAGAGACAAATCTACTGCTCTTCCTGGGTCCCTTTTAAAAACTATTTTGGTAGGTACTAACATAAATATCAGGAAGGCAACCTGAGCTTATTTCTGGAAACCCCCCCCCTTTTTTTTCAAAGTTAGGGGTCATTTCTTGAGAAAGGATAATATATCTGGGGACAATCAGAGTATTTTCTCACTTCTCCAACGAACAAAAACTAGCCTTATGCATTAGAAGGAGAAGGACTGCCAGATCATAGGAGATAACATTTAAAAGTTTCTCCTTCCAAGAGGTAAGTCTGGTTTGTCCTTCATGCTGAAGGTATTTCACTATGGAAAGCGAAAAAGCCGAAACAGTGGTGCTGTCAGGGCAATACTTTGGGGCAGAAGTGCCGAGTCCCACGGAAAGGAACTAGCTGGAGGATCCAAACTCAGCTGAACAGGCTTATTCCATTCAGAAGTAAGTACGGTAATATACATCGCCATCAAAAAGGGCCACATCATAACCTCATTAAATCCAAAATGATCTTACTTGGCTTCACGCCTGGCCACGAGTCTGTCTTCCTTCCCCCCCCCCCTCCAACAAGTTAGAGATAACACATAAAAACAAAGGAAAACAAAACCTGGCCCCTTTCCTGTAGCTTCATCAGCAGTCGGACATACAGAAGTTAAGCAAGTGACTCTTCCCTCGCCGTTTTATCTGTTAGGCACGGTGGGTGGGTGGTGGAGCGGAATCGCCCTGCCTAATTTGTCCCCGCCAAGGCACGGGAAGACTAGCATACAGATGGAAACTCCGGATAAACCCTTTCATCCATATATATATCAGACTATATATATTCTGTTCGGGGAGGCGGCTGGTTGCCCCCGAGCTGCCTTTCGGTCACGGCAAAGGCGCTCAGCCCAAATAGACAGAGAGGTCCGCTTTTTGAGGGAGGGGACACGGCGTCGTGCCCACCCACAGCCGTGCCCCATTGGCTGGGGGCTCCCTCTAATGCAACCAGGAGAGGAAAGATACCGCGTGGAGGGCACGCGCCGCCCGGTCATGAGAGACCGGCCACGCGCTGCTTACCTTTCTCCGGCCTCCACGTTCGCTTTCCAACCAAGCCCGGTAGCTGTAGCAGGAGTAATACCAGTGCCTCGCCTTAGTACACGCTAATCTGAGGTAACTCTCCACCCACAGCTAGAAGTATCCTCCTCCAGGAAGCCGGCAGTCCAAGAGCGGGTTATTGCAAAAGAAAAAGAAAAGCGAGGGGTTGCCGGTTTTTGGTTTCTTACATTGCGAGCTACGTTACAGAAGCTGCTGGGAATGGTAGTTCCTTCTTCATTTCAGAGCCATGACTCCAGAAGAACGCAACACTACAAGCCCCGGCATGCAACAGGGCACCAGTCTCGTGCGCGCTTCCATCCGAAAAGGATGTTCCTGATAACATGAGCCGGAGATTTGAGAAACCGGCGGCTGGCTGCTGATCTGGCTGTTCTGAGTGCTGGGTGTAGGCCTAAGCTAAAATGCAGGCAATTCTCTTAGTTCGCGGGAGCCATAAATCTTTCACTCTGAAACCCTCTGCCTACTTACTTGGGAAAGAGCCCCACTTACCTCAATGGGACTGCCTTCTGAGTGGACATGGATTGTATTGCTCAGCGCGATTCAGTACATACTTGCTCAAGAGTAAATTCCTTCGTAGTCATTGGGGCTTATACTCCTATGTAAGTGTGCTATGTTTGATTTTTTTAAAGTGGGGAGGGAAGCCAGCAATGATAATACTAATCAAAAACCAAAACGATCTGGCTTCTGCCATCAGCCAGGGAAGTTCCACTCATTGCTTTTTAGAAATGACACTAAGCCAAGGGGGAGGCCAGCCTTGCCCATCCATACTCCAGAGAAGAAACAGCCGCTGGAGCCTGCTTTCTCTCTCCTCCCACAAAGAACACCTTGGCCCAACTGACAGCTGTCTGGGGTGAGAGTAGGAAGAGCTGGTTCCATCCATTGGCTTGAGAAACAACACCAGCAAAGGAAGATCAACTTGGCCCAATGTGCATTGAAGCTATGGCTTAGAACTCACCTTTTTGTTCAGATTTGAAAAGAACACTCTCCCCCTTTCCCCTCTATTCTCCTTCCCTAGTCTGCTTTATATTTTTTTAAAATAATCTGGAAGGCAGAGCCCTGCTCCTTGTTTTGCACTGATGTGAGCCCCTTTGGGAGACAATATTGTCTGAAGAGTGGAACGAAAATGAAGAAATAAATAGAATTAGTGGGTGTCAGGATTATACTGTAAAAAATTAAATGTCCTGAGATATACTGGCTCAATTGGTAAGACGAACAGCATGTTGATACCAAATTAAGCCTCGATTCTGTTCTTTGGGGTTTACTCCCAGATAAATGTGAATGGGATTGCAGCTTAAAAATATAGCACAAATATCAGCAAGCAGCAAATATATGCTTCTGTTTAAGAATGTCTGACATAATTAAACTGGAATATAATAGAGTATTTAATGGTGATGCTTTCTTTGCAATGTTAGTCCAAAGCTGGCTTCAGCAGAGAAGGTATATTTCAGGAATGCTTTTAGTCAGCTTCTTCAAAGGGTAATGCTAGGGTGCTGTGGCAGCCATTTCCCACCCAGGTAGCTTTGGATCAGAGTTTCCTCATCAGTGAGGTTAGCATGGCCATCTTGGTTTGGGAAAAGGCCTAGCCACTCCATATTGAAGAATGTGGTGGACATGCAAAATGTCCTGTGTAAAATGGGACAAGGCCCTGGCCCAGGTTTTTGTAATAACACAAAGCCTCCATGGTGATGCCATTTATGGCTAGGGTGAATATTTGTCAGATTCCAAGCAGCCCATCTAATGCAGATGGGAATGGGAACTACAGTCAGTAATATGGGGGTATAGCAAAGGTGGCAATGGGTCTCCAATGGAACATTTGGCTTTGTGCTAAGTTTTTATTGAATTAAGCTCTTGTATTGCTTTATTCAATTTTAATAATGCCTGCAAACTGTTTTGAGTGTCATATTTTTGGTAGAAAGGTGGGGTGCAAATCATATAAGTAAGGGTGGAATGATCTCAACTCTATTTTGTTGTTTTGCCCATGGGAGGTAAGTGGCATCAGCTCTCCAGCACAAAATCTTGACTCTGAGTAAGAAAACTTAGCATAGGATGCTTAGTTGTCAGCAGTTTCTCATGCACCTCTGTGATTTCAAAAGGAACAAATAATGCACATATTGCTTGGTTCATCCATGCATACACTTTTGGATCTTTTAGCATTAAAGTGGAGGAAATGCTTAATTTTGCAGATTTACTTAGGTGATTTTTGTCCTGGTGTGGGAAAGTATGCAGCCCTTGGCACTTTTCTCTGGGCTTTAGACACGCTTCTCCTCATGTAAAAAGCAAGCTGCAGAGAAGTTAATCCTCAGATAAGACAGGCAGAACCCTCACTTTCCTGTGAGGCATGTCTGAGTATTGCATCATGACGGTACCATCTACCAGTCTGCACTTCTCAGTGCACAACTCTCAGGAAATTGCGTCTGGACCAGCATCTGAGGGAGGAGGGTGCCAGCAGCTCACTTAGGGCAGGAACACTGTGATGGAGAAAAGAAAACGTGTGGCTTGGGTATTTTTTCTTTAGCTTCCTGGGGAGGCTTCTTTCTCATGGCGATTCAGTAATAACGTCCCAATCCTTTTTGCTGTGACAGAATTCTAGATTTCTGGATGGGTTTGCAATTCAGTCTCTGGAATAGAGAGAGGACCCAGGCAGTTGACACAATTATTCCTGAGCATGTGTAGTTGAGCTGGTACATCCCAGAGCTGAGAGTGATGAAATAAATTAGGTGACAGCTTGAGTGCCAATACGGAAAAGCTCCGAGTGGGTGAAGTCAGGCCCTGGTATGTACTTAGAGGCAAGTATTCATAGGGGCAGTGGGGACAGTAAAGAAACAATATCTCACTGCTTTTGATAGGTCCAAGATGATCTTAAAGACATCTTAGAGTCATCTAAGGCGCACTAGAATATATTTGCTAGGCACTTCCAGGATAAAATCTATGCTGCCACCCTGGGCTTAGACACCAATTTTATGGCAGTTGAATCATGTAAGTTTCCCAGAGCACAGCCTGGTTCATTTTTAGTGGGTGAGAGTATTTTAGTGGGAATATATTTGCTAGGCACTTCCAGGGTAAAATCTATGCTGCCACCACCACCCTGGACTTAGACACCAATTTTATAGCAGTTGAATCATATAAGATTCTCAGAGCACAGCCTGGTTCATTTTTAGTGGGTAAGTTTCAGTTGGTACAGCCTGAAGGTGCTGACAATGTGCTTGGACAGGTTTGTGCAACCACACCTGTATTAGATCCCTACCCGTTGGCTTATAAAAGTTTGCAGGGAGGGCTGCTGGGCCTGGGAGAAGTGGCCACCTTAACCCTACTAGTATTAACTCTCTTTAGACATGGAAGATTCTAATAACTTAAGGTAGAAGTGAATGTTCTCTTCCTTGGCCAAGTCTCAGGTGCTGGCAAAGCAACTCCAAGCACTCTTGGATGGGACCATTTATCTGAATCAATTTCTGTTGGAGTTCAGGCTGGGTTTCAGCATGGAAACAGCTTTGGACACATGGGAGAGAAACACAGGGGGTGTGACCTTGTTGATACTCCTGGATCACTCAGTGGCTTTTGATGCCCTCAGCTATGGTATCCTTTTAGGGCAGTTGTCTGAGGTGGGAGTGGAGGGTACTGCATTGCAGTGGTTCCACTCTTGCATGGGTGATCAGCTCCAGAGGTGGAGCTTGGGGAATATTTTATTTATTTATTTAAAACGTTTTTATTCCGCCCCCATCGCAACAAAGCCTTGGGGCGGCTCACAACAAAAACAAAATACATAAATATAACAATTATACAAGTAAAAATATTAAAACCCAGTGCATCTCGGCTTAAAAGATTTAAAATCCTATAAATACAAATAAATTAACAATTAAAATGAGTTTTAAATAAAAAGGTCTTAGCCTGGTGCCGAAAAACAAATAACGACGGCGCCAGGCGGACCTCTCTGGGGAGCGCATTCCATAGATGGGGCGCCACCGCAGAGAAAGCCCTCCTCCGGGTACTCACCCTCCTAATATCATTCACAGAGGGTTCCCGGAGAAGGGCATCTGTTGCTGATCTCAAGGGGCAGGAGAGCATATATGGACGCAAGCGTTCCTTTAGATACCCAGGTCCCAAGCTGTTGAGGGCTTTATAGGTCATCACCAACACCTTGAATTGGGCCCGGACTTCAATGGGGAGCCAGTGAAGCTGACGGAGAACTGGAGTCATGTGAACATAACATCCAGTCCCCGTCAGCAGCCTGGCAGCTCTATTCTGCACCAACTGAAGTATCCGGACCGTCTTCAAAGGTAGCCCCACGTAGAGCGCGTTACAGAAATCTAATCAGGAAGTTACCAACGCGTGTGTCACTGTTGCCAGGCAGTCGTTCTCCAGGAAGGGACACAGCTGATGGATCAGCCGAAGCTGAAGGAAGGCAGTCCTCACCACTGCCATCACCTGAGCTTCTAGAGACAGCTCAGGGTCGAGGAGCACTCCTAAGCTGAGAACCCTGTCCCTCAGAGGGAGTGCAACCCCATTTAGGACAAGGCCCAAGTCCCCCATCCCAAGGCCCGAACCACCCACCAACAGGACCTCCGTCTTGTCTGGATTGAGCTTCAGTTTATTGGTCCTTATCCAGCCCATTACCTTGGCCAGGCACCAGTTTAGCACAGCCACTGCCTCACCTGGATTGGTGGAAAACGAGAGGTAGAGCTGGGTATCATCAACGTACTGATGATTCCGCAGCCCACACCTCCTGATGACCTCTCCCAGCAGTTTCATGTAGTCGTTAAACAGCAAAGGGGACAAAATGGATCCCTGCGGTACTCCA